GAGTCCTATCTTATCGAGTCCTTGTCATATATCTTATGTTACCTTATCATATCTTGTGCTATCTTATCTTATCTTGTAGTATCTTATATTGTCTTGTCTTATCTGGTGATTATCATTGGGAGGAGGGAGGCGCGAGCGGGAGGAAGGAGGAGCAGTGGGAGGCGTCAGAGTAATAACAAGAACCCCAATCCTTAGGATATGGGGAAAAAATACTCGAACACTACCCTAAAATATGAAAACAATAATCAACAAAAACTTCCCCAGACTATTTCTTTACTATTTTTGAGTATTCCCCCTGTAGAGGGACACGCCCGACTTAACCCTTGTGCGCGCCGCCAAAGAAGAGAACTGCTCGTGGCCGTGCGAGAGGGGGGTGATGACTAGGGTCAACTCGCACAACAAGGGTGTCCGATAACACTCACCTCGCGAGGGACAGTCCATCTTTTTCGCCCTGACCACCACTCTTGTGATTACCGTTAAGTCGGGCCTCTCCATCTACAGGAGGAATATTCAAAAATAGTCAAACAATAGTTTAGGGACCATTTTTGCATAATTTTTCTGGTATTTTGGGGCACTTTTGGGGTACTTTTCATTTTTCGTTCAAGATCCCCCTGTGGAGGGACAGGCCCGACCTAAGAGCACCGGCCCAAATCATTGTACTTAATCATACAAATGTGCTGTATATGTTTTTGCGTTGACTGATCTTGATGTTCGCAATCACACATTCCCACGACAAGCGCGGTTCAGGCGGCGCACGACTACGCTAGCGCATCGCAAGGATGCGCAGCGCATGCAGGGCGATACGGATATTCACATTCATCAGCAGGGCCATCAGCACGCAGCCTTGCAGCCTGCAGCCTGGCGGACTGGCGGCAGCGCTGCCTCATCATGGCCACGTGGGAACCGCAACAGACGCAAGCGACACAGCCTATCTCGTGAAAGTTGCTTATCCTCACTATCCGTGTTGAAGCTAGGGGCGGGGTGGTAACATGGCCGAGGCTTCACATCTTCCTGGTTTTCGTGGCCCCTCCTCGTATCTCGAGGCGTTCCTGCCCCCCCCCCCCCGTTGGGCCCCGCAGACGTCTCGGGCCATGATTTGCTCCCCCCCCTCTTGGACGCCCCCGAGTGCTCGTCGCTGTCCCGTTGCCGAAGAGCATCGGTCCTTCTTCCCTGAGGTCTTCGACCAGCCCTTCGTATCGCGTGTTCTTCTTCGACGATAACCTGGAGCTGGACGGTGTCGAGGCGGGCCCAGGCGAGCGGGGCGCGTGCGGGCGGGGGGGGTCTGAGCCCGGCAGGCGCTGGCTGCTGGCAAGCCCTCCGCTGGCATAGAGCCATGCTGACAGGGCCTCGTCGTCGCCGTCGTCGTCGAAGTGGTCGTCGTCGTCGTCGTCGTCAGTTTTTCGATGATTGATTGGTTGACTGATCCATCCTCCATCTTCCAGGGGGGGGCGGGGGACATCATGGGGGTGAGGACCAGACGGTCAGAGAAGGCAGGCGGGAGGACGGAGGAGTCGAGCAGGGGGGCCCACGGAAGCCTCTCGGACGCCTCTCCGGAAGGCCTACGGAGGCCTCTCGGAGGCCCCCCGGAGGCCGAGGGGAGGCTCGGAAGCCTCTCGGAGGCCTCTCGGAATCTTTTCGGACGCCTCTCCGAAGGATCTCTGAACATCCAGTGAATGATCTCTGACGGATATCTCCAGGATTTCTGAATTTTGCCACAGGAATTTTTGAAGGATCCATGAACATTTTTTCTGAAGGATCACCGAACAATCCCTGAACGATCTCGAGGACCTCTGCAGAAGATCTGAAGAATTTCTGAAGGATCTCAGAAGAATCCCAGATAGATTTTCGCATAATCTCTGAACCATCTCAACAACTGTGGATCCCTGAAGCCTCCAAACCTCTTGGAAGCCGTTTCGAAGCATCTCGTAGGGACCTCTGCAAGATATCCGGAGCCTTTCCCGAAACACCTCTGAAGAATAGACCCGAAGGATCTCTCGAGGATCTCTGAGGGATCCCTGGAGCCTCTCTGAAGCCTCTCTGGGGCCTCTCTGAAGGAGGCGTCCGCCGGGCTGGCCTCCGCCTCGGCCGATGCCCCGTCGTCTCCTGGCCTCGGTGGCCGTGCGCGCTCGCGCCAGCGGAGGCATCTGCAACCTCCGGGACGTGGAGGAGGGGACCTTCGTGGACTTTGCCGAGGGGAAGAACGGCTACCAGACGGGGCGCGCAGGCCTCCTCGGCAGACATGGTCCACTGTCGATCCGATGGGTCCGACTTGATCTCGATTCTGGCTAGCCCAGTCCGACTCGATTCCGATCAGGAGCCTCGAGATTCCGAGGAGGGTACCCATACCGCTACCCTTTCCTCACTTTTCCCTTTTTGGGTCTCCTGGGAGGCCCTCGTCGCCACGGTTGGAATTCGCTTCGAAACCCTGATCAGAACGCACCCCGGGAGAGGTCCAGGGAGTAGAGGTATCGGTACCCTGTTGGTTTCTCCATTAAGACGGGGGTCAATGCAAACGGGGGTCAGCCAGAGCGCGGGATCTTACAAGATCCTGCAGAGCCAGGGGTGCATCGACCAAGGTCAGGGCGCCGGATCCTGCAGGATCTTGCGGGGTCCTGTAAAGCCCGACTGACCCGGCTTGTGCATGGACCCAGGTCGGTCGATCCCCGATCCGATACTCCCACGATCCTATGCAGCCCGATGCTTGCATTGGGCTGGCGTACCTCCTGGCGCAGCCGATCCGATCCGAGTTCGCCGTCCTGTCGGTGCGGCCCGATCCGACGCACATTCGCAGGCCTAGAGGTTGACACCAACACCAATATCGGCGGTGTGCCTCCACCGACGGAAGAGGATCCCGATCTCGGTGATGGTGGTCATATTCTGGCTTCCAAGGTGACCGAACTATCACCACCAACACCGAAATCTGGGATCATCTTCCCCCTGTGGAAGCAACCCCCCTGTGTTGGTGTTGGTGCCCACTTCCAGGCCTCCAACACCCTGCGGTTCGAGCCGGCTTCCCGATCCGATGCCGACGGCTCCTGGGGAAGGGTTGGGGCGGGCGGGAGCGGGGGGCAGCGGTGGAGGGGCAGCGAGGAGTGGGAGGGGAACTTGCCAGGAGTGGATGGGGCAGCGAGGAGTGGGAGAGGAACTTAGGAGTGGGAGTGGGAGAGGCTTGTCAGGAACGGGCCGGCTGGGGGGCGAAGGGAGGCGGAAATGCGGGGTGGCATTGTCTGCGTGGTGAGAGCACGGGGGAGTAGCATCAGCATGACTTGCGTTGGGGGATAGCTGGAGTCTGGGCCTCACAGACGGGGTCCGAGCAGGCGGGGTCGGAGGATCGCGCCGCACCGCCGATCCATTGGCGATACGGCTCGGTGAGGAGCCCGATTTTCTCCACGCCGACGGCGCCGAGTCATCGCCGACGTCGTGAATGTATCGCCGATGCATCGGCGATGCGGCGCGATCCTCCGACCCCAGCTACTCGTTCCCCATTTGGGAGGACTCTATGGCAAGTCTCGCGAGGAGACAGGTGGAGCAGATCTGCTTCGATGAGCGCTGAGCACAAGCTGAAAACACGCACGGTGGCCTTTCCCTGTTTGCTCTGAACGAGCACGGCTTCAACTGCAGAGGTGCCGTGACCACGCCTACTTCTGCAGAAGCTTTGGCTGAGAGTGAGAGAGAGAGAGCGAGAGACCGAGTGAGAGAGAGAGGGAGAGAGCGGGGGGGGGAGAAAGAGAGAGAGAGAGAGAGATACAGAGCTGGCCATGGAGAGAGCGAGAGAGAGAGAGGGGGGGAGGCTCGCACACTATCCATAGCCTAGCCCCTCTTTGGCCGAGCTGCGTGGTCGCGCATTCGTGCGACAAGTCAAATGTCAAGGCCGAAGGCATCACCCGTAGTGAACCCTCTTCGCCATCCCTGCTGTGCTTCCTCCAGATTCCCTCAGAGGACAAACAGTGGTGAGGCCCCCTGCCACAGACCAGGTGTAAACCACGCGAACAGCTTGTCGCCCGCAGTTTCGAGACAAGAAAGGGCCGCTGCCTTCATAGTAGCTGGCGGCTCACGTACGTCTACTATGTGTGCCTCGGCCACGCGAGGGCGACGCCAACACGGAAGTCTTGCAGCAGACGCTCCGTGGCGGGTGTGTTCTGGCCATTCCGCTGGATGCACTGCAGGGTTTTGTGCTACATGTTCGAGTCGGACGTGTGTCCCCCACAGGGGCACACAGTGCCAGCCTGCACTTTTGCGTCTCACGCGCTACCGGCAAGCCGCGGCCGCTGCAGGTCGCTCGGCCCCGCCGCCGTCCTCCCGCCGGGCGCCCCAGCGGCGCGCAGAGGCCGCGGCGGGCCTCGAGGCCCAGGCTGGCTCGGTGGCCACACTGCGTGGGGAGCCAGTGGGGATTCGGGGTCGCCGTGCGGGTTTGGGGCCCAGGTCGTTCTCCGAGGACGTCTCGGGCGACCAGGAGCTCCGAGGTCCCGAGGCCGTGCGGTGAGGTCGTTGGGGACTGCGGCGTCGCCACGCGCTCCGTCAACTGGCGGTCTCGGGGCCCCCCGCCGCGGTCCGTTCCGCCCCGCCGCGACGCCGGCCGCCCAGGCCGCCACACGATAGTGATGCACAGTGCCGAGTACAACGGGGTCCTCGTGAAGGCCGCGCCGCGGCCGCGCCGGAACTGCATTCCCCGAGAGGACCGGTAGGATCGTAATGGGTACGGAGGGAGTGGGTGCGACGACCGTCACAAGTTCCCTATCTATTTTGAGCAGGACTCGCCGTCGAACATTGCCGCGGACGTTGTCGATTTGAGGCAGAAGGTCGCCTGCCCAATCGCGGCCGCTGCCGGTTTTGGACGACGTCTGCTGTTGGGCAGGGCTCGACCTAAACTGTGTTTTGGCGATTTCGTGAACAGTGTTCTTTTCGATGTCGTTTTGCAGCAAAGGCGGAACGAAGACAAATCGAAGGACAACGAAAAAACGAGAACGGACAACACCGTTTAGGTCAAGCCCTGCTGTTGGGCATTGTACCCTTTTTCTCCCAGAGGTCTGGAGAGTGGAGAGTTGATCGGTACACGCCGGTCGTTGAAGGCAGTTTTTTTTGATGTCCAGATCCTGATCTATCTCAAACGCCTTCCTGCACTTCAATGATCGACACGCGCTTGCTGTTTGTTGCTGCTCTTTGGGCGGGCGCGAACCCGATCTCCTTGATCCGCCTTCCCACCTCATGCTCCCACCTACTTCTTGCGACTGGCGGGTATCTCCGGCCTCGCCCTCCCCTCCTCCTCCTCCTCCTCCTCCTCCTCCTCCTCCTCCTCCTCCTCCTCCCTCCTCCTCCTCCTCCCTCCTCCTCCTCCTCCTCCTCCTCCTCCTCCTCCTCCCTCCTCCTCCTCCTCCTCCTCCTCCTCCTCCTCCTCCTCCTCCTCCTCCTCCTCCTCCTCCTCCTCCTCCCCCTCTCTTCTTCCCTTCCTGCCTGTCCGTGGCCTCTCCCTCCAAGTGGTGTGCTCTGCTCCTCGAGAGAGGCGCCCGCGAGATGGTTCTGCGGGAGGCCTCTGGGCGGCTGCGGCTCCCCAGGAGGGGGTGGCGCAGAGGTCGTTCCTGGAGGTGCGGGGAGGCGAGGGGGCAGCAGGAGGAGGGGGGAGGCGGGGCTCGTTTCGGCTCCTCCGATTCGATTCGGCTCGATCTCGACGGCTTCCGGTCCAGGTTCGATTCGACTTCGGATTCCGATTTGGCCTCAAAATTCTCAACGGAGGCCTCCTGGCCGGCCGATTTCCGCCGATTTTACTTCTTCCGAATCGGCTGCCGATTTCCGCCGATCCGATTCCTTACGATCGCCGGTCCGACTTATCGATTCGAGTCTGGGCTCTCTTGGGGAGGGGGGTGGGAGAGGGGCGGGATGAGACTCGACGCCAGACTAGAAGACTGCTCAGGAAGGCTAGGAAAGCACTCCACGACGAGTGGACTCGGTAGCAGTAGTGGCGCGACCCGCAGCCGACCGAACAAAGCCGAAGCCGATCGCCGCATGCCTCGAGATGGCGGTGGGCTACCCAGAGTGGTGCTCAGCCCACTCCGCTGCACACGTGCCAAGCCGAAAACCGGGCTCCGCACACCACGGGAGTGGGGGGACACTGTCTTGGTCCTTGCGCGCTCCTCGCTGCTTCGTGTCCCGCCTTCCCCAGAATCGAACAGCAGTAGCGTTGCCTTGGTTGGACAACGGGTATGTGAAGCTCTTGGCAGCTTGTTTGGGCCACCTTGGGGCCCTCTTGGGGACACATTTTGGAAGACTTGTCTTCCTGTGGGTCTCTTGAGGCCCTTGCCTCGGGCGCTCCTTGTGGGCACCTTGCAGGTTATCGATGAAAGAAGGAGTTTTTTTTCACCATGATTGCCACTTTTGGGCCCGAGCGCCCACCTCTTGAGGCCCTCTGGGGCCCTTTGAAGGAGGTCGTGGGCGCTCTCGGGGCCGTCTTGGAGTCCCCTTGGACCTCTTTCTTGGGGCTTCATTGGCCCATCTGGGAGCCGTCTGGAGGCCCCAGGAACCACTCGGACGCGAAAAGGCGAGAAGGCCAGCATCATTGATCTCTCTTTGGTTTTGGGAGGCTTTGGGCCTCTTAGGGTCATCCTTGGAAGGCTTCTTGGAATCGTCTTGGGGACAGCTTCGAAGCATCTTGGAAGCCACCTGGAGCCACCTTGGGCCATCTTGGGTGCTCTAGCTGGTCGCGCCCCACCGTCCATACTCAGGGCAGGGTCAAAAGGGGATGAGCGGGGCGCGCCCCTCCCCAATGAGGAAGAAGAGGATCGGGAGAGGCAACGCCTTGGACCACCTCAGGCCAGAGGGCTAGTGGGATTGGAGCGCGCGCCGACGACGCCAAGCAGGAAGCGCTCGATGGAGTAGCGGATCATGTAGCTCGGGATGGACGGGGTCGGGTCGATGATGTTGACGATTTGGCCGACGATCTCCGTCTTCGCGCCGCCCAGCTGTCGCGTGGGAGGGAGACCGACAGAGATCGCCGAGGGCAGCCATGAGGCCGCCGCAGACCGCCCGAAGCCGTCGAGACCGCCGAGAACGCCGAGGTCACCGCTGACCGTCGGAGGGCAGCAGAGGGTCCATACTCCCCCTCTACCCTCGCTCGCACACCCTACGGTAGGCTCACGCGTTGGCGCGCCGCCGACGCCGGCGAAGGCGTTCGGGGTTGAAGTCTGTGCCGCGGAAGCACCGAGGGACGCGGTGACGCTACTGGACCCGACGGAAGTCAACCTGGAACGATCGGGGCCGCGATCGATTCAAGGTTGCACGATCGACGCGGTGTCAAAGACCTTTGCGCGTGCCGACGCCGTGCGAACCTACCGTAGCCTTCCAATACGCCTTTCCGTGGCGTTCGGCTGTTTTGTTCGTTGGGGCACTCTTCGATCCTGTACGCAAGTGCGCCGGCCCATACTGGCCCCCTCTTCAGGTTACACACGCCGTCGCCCTCCTTGTCCTTCTCCATCCCCGCCGTCTCGCAGGACTCACATTTTGGCGCGA